CAGAATATACCGTAATTTTACCAGATTCCGTCTGCAATTTTCTTAGCTGATCATCTCACTCTCTGTCCTTTTGTGCCCGAAGGCACAAATCCTGCATTTCTGCTGTGTTGATTAGAATCCTTGGAACGACAGTAGAAAATAGAAAAGTACGGTTACAACCTCTATACAAATATACCATTGTTTTATTTTATAAATGTAGGACGAACGAAATAGGTCGTTATAAGAATAAGATTACAAAATATAATATATCACTTAAACAGATTGCGCGTACAAACAATAATAATCTATTACTGCTTAGTCGTTAGAAAATATGAATCCAATCAGCCAGTATTACAGACGCTTCTGAACGATACCATTTTGCTTACTTATTTTATTGATTACTAAAGTATTTCTTATAGTTTGTTCATTAACAAATATTTGTTGAATTTTAACTTATTAACAAATGTTTTCCGAATATCCATACGTCCAAACAATCATTTCTTTCTCTTTTTTTAAAAATAACAAGATTTACATGTTTAATACGACTGAATCTCTCATTCACAGTATAATTTCTTCATATGCTTTTAACCTCTAACAAGAAATACTTTATATTGTTACCAATATTTCCTTATGTGTTCTGTTTTACGAAGATCGCTTATAGCATATCATTTAATTGAATGTTGATAACTGTTTGTTAATTAATATTGAAAAATATGTCAATTAAATTAGCAAGAAATGATGTAGTTATGTTAATTCTCTTCTTTAACCATTCTGATGCTGAACATAGACATGTGCTGAAACCTTAATTTTGTATCTAAAGTCCATTCTCCATAAGAATTTTCTGCAGAAATTGTTTCACAAATTGAGCTTTGAGTCTAAATCATTTCTTGATACGAACGAAAAAATTGTATGTATGAAACAGAATGATTATGACATTCACAAGTCTATACCTGTTTGTTCTTGGTAAGACTTAACAACCACTCCCTATCTTATTACTTTATAATGAAACAGAGAGCTAAATTCAGATCTTAACCATCCTACATAAATGTAGAAATTTACATTCCTTGAAAATATACAACGTTGCTTTGAATCATGTTACTTTTCAACGATTCTAATACACAAAACAATATCATTGTTTTGATCCATTGTTTATGAAAGAATATTCGGTCCTGTATGTATATAAGATGTCCGATGGTAAGTATCATTTAATATAGTGTCTAAAGTCTTGATGTTATGAGAAAAGACTAAAGGGAAGTTACTAACTGGTTCAACCGTACAATCCGTTGTGATGAAAGTAATATTCTCATTTTCTTTTTACTCTACATTTTCTTGCTGATATTTTATTTGAATTATAGAGAAAACTTATTGACCAGTACGATATAATACAATCTTGTAATATTAGATTAATATATATTAACTTATAATAAAAATCAACGCTGTCAATAAGGTATTAAAGACATAAGCATCAGGATATTATTCATTAAACCAGGACTTTCATTTCCCTAGAATAAATAAATGAAAATATTACTTTCCTTTTATACTTAGAATTATTACAGAGTATCGTGTATCATTTTTTTAGTATTAAAAATATAAACATTTTAAATAGCACTTTTATTAACACGCCTGTGTATGAAAGAACAAATTATAGTGTAGGGAGAAGCTAAATAGGAGACAGAGGGAAAACAAAATTATTGAGAATGTGTACCTCTGAATAGTTCCAACCCTCCATTTCTTCATGTTTTCAGTTTTGCGCGACGTTATGCACAAATGTATATTATGGCGAATTTAAACATTTCCCTGCTAATGCGGCTGCCTTGGACAAAACTATTTGAATATCCATTGAAGGAAACTTCTAAAAAAAAATTAATCTTTGTAATACCATTTCCTATAACATTATGAAAAGGACCTCATTTAGATGACCCATGTAGATTTTAATAAAACTTTAGTTCAGGAACCATCATTCTTTATAGTATAAACTCTTTCCTAAACAATAGTTCAACTTATGTTTCAATTTTATTCGAATTGATCATTTGACATGCATACTTCGAAAACAAAATTTAGATTAAAACTTAAACCAGTAAGTTCACTAATTCACACTTTCCACATACAGGGTGTCTCAAAAAGATGGGACAATCCGGAACATGCATATTCCTTATGCAAATACAAATAGAAGGCCTTTACCGTTTTGTAATCTGAAGCTCCATTTCCAAGATATTAGCAGTTAAACGAACTCGACTCAGCAGTTAACGATCAGCTGAGTCATGGGCCACACGTACACACAGACACAGTCAAGAAACAGAGACCAGTGACTTGAGCCATGCGCTTCTTGACTGTGTCTTCGTGTACGTGTGAGTTCGATTAATTGTTAAGTTCTGATGTTAAAGTTGCTTAATGCCATACGTTCCCCTCACCATCGGTGACTTGGTGGATCAAATATTTTCTTTCATTTACATTATTTCCTAAAGTACACGATTCACTTACTTGTAAAAGTTTGACGTTTGTAGCAAAGTCAGCAGCTAGGAGTTGGTCCCTCAATAACCTGAAAAATTACATGTGTAGATATTATATTAGTTTCTACAAATTTAGAGATTTCTTAAAAGATCAATATTTACAAGATCATAGCACAGCAAATATGTATTAAGAAGTTGAATCTATTCTCATCAGCAAATAGAGAATCCCAAATTCTCATGACATCTGGTAATGGAAACTCCTGAGACAGGAGAAGTGTTAGCCATCTAATATAAGAATTGTCCAATAACATTAATTTTTTTTACAATAAACAGTTTTAATAGTATAAATTTTATTAAACCACTTCACCTAAAGCTGTAATATTGTGGACACAATTCCTGTTGGTGTAAACGCATCCAAACCTCAGGATCATTCGCCTTAACCTGTGTGGTAAGTTTGCTCATCATTGAGTTTATCCCAAATTCAGCTTCATCCAAGGATTTTATAAAGAAATCACGAATTTCACCCATTAAATTGGTAAAACAAAAAAAGGTATCTGCTTCTGCGTGCTCTACAAAATATTAAATTTAATTGTAAGTATCGAAAATATACGGGGTACCTATGCAAAATACCTACTGTTAGTCTAAGAATCATACAATTTGAGGCATCATATATTGTAGTTAATAAAAGTTCGAAGGTTTACTTTCTTAAATACACTGTTTTTTAAATGAATCATATACTTATCGTATACATTCTGTTAAAATTAATATCCAAATTTGACATTATACTGTGTTCATTCTAAATGTATCCACGATTTTCCAATCCTTTACAACAATATAATAAAAAAAGCAGTTGAAGTGGAAAGAGTAGTATGCCTTGTTCTGTTCTACTACTTCCACTGTGATAAGCTTAGTAGTACAGTAAATCTTTTTGAGTGCTGGAAGTGTGATGTGTCAAGAAATCTTAAGACTAAAATGCTGTACCCACCTAGTAGGGATAAACCAATTCTAACAGTACATTAAATGTAGAATAAAGAATATGTAAACTTTTCATTTATTAGATTTAAAATAAATTGACTTCCTTGTGATAAGCTTCTGAATTTGATATTTATACTAATTTTCCACCGATAATAGAAAGGATTAGAACAGAAATTGTATAAAATGCACAAAAAAATTGTTTCCTGATTGAAAAACTGAGAAGATTTAATTTCACATAACCTTCTCATTTAAAGTTATAGCACCAAAACACAAAAAGCATGCAAATTTTATTTTATGATTACTTCCAAGTAATACTGATCTATACCACTAATGATCTGCGAATTTGAGAAAATATATATTCCCAATCAAAATCTACAACTTTTTAATTAAACATTTTCCACAATTATGGACAATGGATATTTTGGGTAGTTATGTTAATTATAATACCATGTCCATACAATGATAAATATTCATAACTTACCTCTCCATTTTTGGTTAGGATCACAAGCGAATGCATGATAAATAGGACCAACTATTTCATTCATTCCTTGTACATAGCCTTGTCCTGGATTCAATTTGGCATAAAGAAAAAGTATTCTTTCTAAAACCTCCCAGTGTGCCTCACCACCTTCTGCAAGTGGTGCATAATCTTCTGCAGCTTTTCTAATGGAAACTGCTATCTGTAAAAAATGTATAATAATTATTCATAACATTGTTCTGATATATTCTGCAAGATTACACAAACTGCATTACCTGCTGCTTCCCATATCAGCATAAGAGTATTGCAAATGAAATTAAATTTATCATTATACTATGTTACTTATAAACTTAGTTACCTTAGTAACACCAAGTCCTTTCCTTTCCACATTTGCACTTCTTAAAACTGTATGCTGTACTCTATGATGTAAACGTTTCTGCCCACTGGCATCCACAATCTCTTTGCAAGGATAATCTGTACCTTGTTGAAAGAATGATATATCTGGACAGAGCCTCCTACAGAAGGATTAATGTATTTTCTTCAAAATAAAAAATTAAAGCCATCCCACATAACTTTATAGCCTGAAACATTTTCCTTGCTTTTTGTATTTCAATAGAATCTTTCTTGTACTGATTTATAGTTTTGTGCATGGAGAACAGTTTAATGTTGTTTGAAAGTATGAATAATAAATGAAGATAATCTTGAATTTTATATAATACTAAGATATTAGAGACAAAAAAAAATATTTCAGGTGATTAGTTATATTTTAGCACTTATGTAATCATTATACTATGAATTTTACCTAACATCTTTATCTATTTGTAAGAGAACATCATTGTCTTTAAAATAGGTTTGCCACTTGCTATCAGGATTTAAATTTAAAGGATGATCATAAAGTGTAACATCTATTCTTTCACCATCTGTATTTGCTTCACCTGGTGTAACAATGAGATCCTCTGCAAATAATAAATCCCTGAAATATTACTAAATTTTTATTACTTCCTTAAGTATCCCAAAGAAAAATCTGTTATACCAATAAAAGTTTTATAAAGTACTCTTTTGCGCATAAGTGTTTCAGACCAACTGGCCCTAGTTGGTGGTAAATAATTTAATAAAAGTTTCCAGCATAGAGGTCTTAAACCTCCTTCATCTGGTATTCCTAAAAAAATTATACAATTCGTAAGCATACTTTTACTGAGCTATACTAATATTTTTTCAACATTTGTACAAGGCAAATAGATAAATAGTATGCAGGGCCCAAAGCAATAGACAAAAAGGATTCTGATATGTAATAAGAGTCATACCATGGAAGCATAATCGTTTTATACTGATGAGATCTACTTCTTCAGCGTTTAATACATCTTCAAACTCGTTTAATCTACAATGCAAGTTTCCTGATTGAAAATTTGTGAGTTGTTTAAAGCACATGAGTGATTACCTCTTTTTCAAAATACTCATCGTAGTTGCGGACAGTACTTGTAGTTGTGAATAAAAATTCCACTGTGTTCTTATCGGCATTTGATAGTCGTGCGGGCGTATTGTATTACACGTTGCTCACATTATTGATAATGACCTACCGGATTGACAGGCGACATAACCGCCACTTCTTTTCTCTCTCACGACTAACCGTCTTTTATATTAAACAATAATTTAAGGTTCTAATTTCAAGGCGTGGAAAAAATTTTCCTATCATTCCAATATAGCACTTACCACTCGTGACTAAAACGATACACGAGAACTATCTAACTAACGAGAGTTTCTGCACAAATTAATCAGACGCTAACCTAACCTATTTCACAAAGCATCATAGGACATATAAAATAGACTGTGAGGTCTTATGGTAGGGATTAGAGATGGCGTGCAAAATCACTAATGGTGATTTATCACAGTGATCACCGAATCACGATCATGGTCGTGATTTAACTTCATTTACAACTGTTTACAACCGTGATTGCGATTTTTTTATCTTGAGTGAATTTGCTCACTGCGATCGTAAGTCCTTGATCTTTAAACAGAAAAACGTATTCAATATGATTTTACGATGAATTACATTACTATTCGTGTTTGTAAAAATCAGTAGAAAAAACAAGAAATTCTGAAAGAATGATTTGCTAGGTAACATGTAGATTATAATTTATAATCATTAAGTTATTCATTATTCTTCATTGTTTCTAATTATTCCTTCACTTTATACGATATAACTTGAATTTTTGTTTTGAGGTCGTTAATATAAAATATACAGATTATGTGTCGCGTGTAAAGAACTGTTAGGTTTCTCCACCAATAAGAAACGATCACGAGAAATCACGAATCACTATGAAAAATCACCGTGATTGGGAATGAACGCGATCGAATCACGAGTGATTCACAAATAGCAGTTCATGCCTTTCTACTGTGATGCCAGGACGTGGGATTTTTCCCACGCATGCGCACTACCTAATCCTCAGTAACGTATATACTTCACTCAAATATGGGGTATCGTTAGACCCCCGTGACAATTGAAATACGGTAGAAATTACAGGAAGAGGACATTTTTAAAAGAAATAACATATTTACATGGAAATAAATGAATATATATTTTTTTATTATTTTGTACATCTGCAGCCGATTTATTACATGAATACAAACATTTGTTGCGAGAGTAAGAAAAACTGCAGAAAACCTTACTAGTATTCAAACAAGAACATTATATATAAAACATATAGTCGTGCTTTCATCAATTAATATTGAAAATTTCTGAATTTTTAATTCTGTAATAAGCTTATCGCTTTCGCGTTTGCCTATTACATTTTTTATTATCTGCGTACATTTAGTTCGTGACAATTTTAGATCCTTAACCACCTGCGGATCTGAACAGGTTTCCTTTAATAAAGGGACCATGTGATTAATTGTTTGAAAAGCTATATTGTGCTCCGCGTAAAACGCAGCTAACTTTATTTCGGCTGTTTTGACTTTATTAACATGGTCCAAATCAGAATTACTATCAACTTTTGGTAATAAAACAGATGGTGTGATATCACAGCTTTTGCTTGTATTTTTAATATGTAATTGAGTCCGCGAATGTCTAATAAGTTCTGATTTTCCGCATGCCAAGACTTTATTGCAAGCCGTGCAGAAAGCTTTTTTATTATTATCATCAGATTTTAACCAGTCTTTGAAAATATTATTCTTTAGCCAAGATAATTGGAATACTTTCCCTTTGTTACTTCTCTTCTTATCCGCCAATCCACTCGAACTAGGCTGCTGGTAATCCATCTTCTGGTTTCTGTCACTGTAATACACTAATATTGCACTACAATTCAATATATTATATAACATTACGCGACTCACCTTCACTTTAACGAAAAACGCGGGAAACGACTGGGAAGGGCCCCTTACGCGTACCTACTGTTGCACATAGATACGTCCATGGAAACAACCGCCGTCGAGCTGTGACGTCCGCATGCGCATGCGCACGAAGGCTCCCATGTGGGAGAAAATCCCACGTCCTGGCATCACTGTTCTCTAGTAGGGATGAAGCAAGATCGAAGCAGTGATGCCAAAATCGTGGCATAACCGCGCGAGCGCTTACCGTCTCCATGCCTCCCGTGGGTATTTTAACCAAGCATATCTACCCTGTTCGTCCGTCAACTCTGTCCCACTATGTCCAACCAGAGAGGAAATGAGAGTCAGTGATGCCAAAATCATGGAACTTAGTTCCACCACACGACGTCCCGGCGTCCCCCACTTTATTCTACAGTTTCTGCCAATCAAGCATGCTTTGCTTTTATCCGTGTGAGCTAGCCCTTCGCGGGTGTTCCGTAAGAATCTACGTTACCGATGCGACTCCCACAACCTGAGCGCCTGCACAGAAATCAGAAGACCCTGTTCGAATTTGGCTACGACGGTTTTACTTTATATTTTTAATTATTTTGTAATTTCGCTTTGCAACCCCTTCGTAAAATAAATGATTGGGAAATATCGATTTGCGAAGCATTTAAAAAAAAGGGGGTTGCATTTTTCTCTCTTCCATATATATTGTTGCGGCCTTTTCCAGGGATTTATTTTAAAAGAGATAAATCAGGCGTGAATCCTCTCCCGTGCAGCCCTGAAGAACTCTGCTCGTTAGGAAATTTTGGACTTCTTTTAAAGGAGACAACTTTAATTTGAAGAACACGTCTTTATTTATCGAGGGTCAATACTGGAATGGTCTCCTTTACAAAACGATCGTTTTTGTTACATCTTGTTAATTACAATATGTCCTTAGATACCAGGAGCCAATAAAATAATTATTAAATTATGAAATAATTCCTGATTTGTTAATACATTTCTTGCAGCTATTCATTTTATAATTTTCAAGTGTTTAACATATTTGCCATGATTTAATATATACTGGGCGCCAAAATTAAAGCATCACTAAAATTTGCCGAAAATATTGGTCATTTTCAGATGCCTATATCTTCGCGAAAAATAGCTATAAAAAATATTGTGACAGAGCATTTTGTAGCCCGAAGTTTCTAGTTTTTGAATCGGGAATTCAAAAATTATTTTTATGTAGTTTGTTCCTTTTTTTTAAAAGATGAAGCGCAGTAAGCGAATGTTAAAAAATGTTGGTCAAGTTTGAGAGGATGCATGGGCCAAATGAAATTTTTTCTGGTAATTCCAATGGAAAACTTTTAAAAAGCAAACATTTCTCTTTAATTTCGTTTTTTTAATTTTGTTGTACAGTTTTTATTGGCCGAGTTATTCGTCATCATATGAGAAAAGGTACTTTCCACTTTGACCGCCTGTAACTTGCGAACGCATGATCGTATAGAAAATTCCAGAAGTGATTTGGAAAGCTGAGAGATTTCTCTTTAAAGACCTTTAGTTGCCAATTTGTTGAAATTTTTTTTCGTCGTCTACAGTCCATTTCAAAATAACGTAAAATATTGCATAATTACCATTTTTCACAAAACACGATGCCATTTTAACAAAAATTGTGGAATCTTCCAGGTGTCTACGTTTTTTTAAAGTTAAAAGTACACGTAACCCCTGTACCAAAGGCCGCATTGATCAGATTTTTTTTACCCTGTGCCCTCGATAGTGAAACTTGCGATACAGTCTGAAAAATTGGTGAATGACTCTTTTGCGGCACGTTTCCTCTTTAAAACGATTTCGCAGCGTTTGAACTGTTGTGGTCTGTGTCTTCTTAGTTTCACTTTATTTCAGAAGAAAGTAGAGATGTCAGAAATTTAGCAAACACATTTTTAAACAATCTCTTCGCAATGACAAAAGGTGCACAATACTGCCGGCATTAGCATTACCTAAGGCGTACCACGAGGAGGTTTCACTGTCGGATTTACGCTTCACTGCGTATGTACAAGCATGGAGAGATGAGACCCTGTGGTTCGTCACTCCCACAGTATTTTTTGACTCCAAACTCACTCTCCGATGCGTGCGTGCGTGCATGTATGCGTATGTTGTGTTTAATAATGGGTATTACCGCCTCTCCGGTTGATTACTTCTTTTAATCGTTTGCGCATATTAATGCACCTCCGTATGATTGACTGTGGTATTCTTCGCCAAATTTGGCGGAGGGCGTGCGCTAATTGCCCTAAATTCGCCAAGTCTGGGTATTGCTGTCGCAACCGACGCCCAAGAATATCCCAAACATGTTCAATGGGATTTAAATCTGGGCTCACTGGTGGATGGTCAAGAACTGGTATTTGATTTTCTTGAAGAAATTGTTGCGTATAGCGTGCAACATGGGGCCTTGCATTGTCCTGCATAAGCAGAAAGCGGTTGCCCATACGCTGACGCAGAGGGAGCACAACGGGGCGCAAAATCTCGTCCACGTACCGCATGGCGGTCAAACCACCACGTGAAAGAATAACTAGCGGTGTACGTGAATACCGCGATACTCCGGCCCAAACCATAACGGATCCCCCATGGAACGCGGTGATCGGCCTTGTATGATTGGCATCGTAACGTTCGCCACAACGACGCCAAACATGTTCCCGTCGGTCGCTCCCTCGTAGGCAGAATCGGGACTCGTCTGTAAAAAGAACATTTGTCCATTGACGCTGAGACCAGCGTATGTAACGACGAGCATAAGCTAAACGCTGCCATCGATGTCTAGCAGTTAGCAACGGGACTCGTACCGGGCGCCTCGAACGTAAGCCAGCCTCCCTCAATCGACGCCTCACGGTGTTGTTAGAGATCGTGCGTGGCGGGTTTTGCCTGCGGTTCGAAATTTGTTCCGCAATAGTGCGTGCGATAACAAAGGGTTCCCGAAGAGCACGTCGCGTAATTGCTCTGTCGTCTCGAGAACTGGTCGCGCGTCTGCGTCCTTGCCCCGATCTACGGACATACTCCCCAGTCTCTCTAAATCGAGCATAGACACGGCTCACAACTGACTGGTTTACACCAAGAACATTAGCAACCTGTCGTTGGCTGCAACCTTCCTGCAAAAGTGTTACCAGTCGACCAATTTCGTAATCAGAGAGATGACGTCTAGGCATAATAAAGTGCTTAAAGAAAGAGAAAAGATGTGAAAAATTTGCTAAGAAAAAAATTTCGATAGGAATAAATAGAGGAGGAAACTGAAGGATTTAATGGAATTGCTAAAAAGAAGAAAAAAAATCCGTGATGCAATTACTGCAAGACCAGTTCTAATGAGTACCCACCCACACTCGCGGTTCGTCTTATCAAGTTGGGGCTCGCAAGCCTCAACTGTGAGAATCGTCGCGGCGCCGCGGCCACCTACAGACAGTGCGCAGTACTAACGTTACAAGCCAACGTCTCGCTGGCAGATGCCAAGGTACTCATCTCATTAC